CTGCCAATCTAATGTTTCTACCATTGTAGGTTATTGACCTCTTGTCTGGAGCTGCTTTCAGGATTTTCTCATTGTCTCTGAGACTTTTAAGTTTTACTATTAGATGACGGGGTATTGACCTATTTTTATTGATTTTTAGGGGGAATTGTCTGTGCCTCCTGGATTTTGATGCTTGTTTCTGTCCCCAAATTAGGGATGTTCTCCGCTATAATTTGCTCCAATATACCTTTTGATCCTTTCTCTTTCTTCTGCTTCTGGGATCCCAATTATTCTAATATTGTTTCATCTTATGGTATCACTTATCTCTTGAATTCTCCCCAAGTGGTCCAGTAATTATCTTTTTCCTCAGCTTCTTTATTCTCCATCAATGGGTCTTCTATATCACTAATTCTCTCTTTGTTATCCTCATTTATCCTAGCAATTAGAGACTCCACTTTTTACTGTACCTCATTAATACCCTTTTTGATTTGAATTCGTTAGATTTTAGTTCTTTCATTTCTCCAGAGAGGGATTTTCTAGTATCTTCTATGCTTTTTTCAAGCCCAGCTCATATCTTTATAATCATCTTTCTGAACTCTAGTTCCAACATCTTACATTAGTAAGATGTGTTGATTAGGTCCCTGGCAGTCAGTACTGCCTCTTGTTCCTTTTTTTGAGGTGAGTTTTTCCATTCGGTCATTTCGTCCAGAGAAGAATAGATGAATAAGAGAACAAAATGCTAAAAACGACCCCAGAAAAAAATTTGGAGACCCAAAACTGGGGGGAAAGAAAGAAAGGGAAAAAAAAAAAAAAGGAATATGATCAAGTTGGTGAACAGAATAGAGCCACACACTAGATTTTGGGTGTATTGTAGTCCGTTAAAAGAAACTGCCTCCCAAAATTTTAAAGAAAGAAAAACTTATATATATATATAAATAAGGGTAAATATTGAAAGGATGGAATAGGACTTTAAAGATAAAAATTTTTAAATATTTTTAAAAAGCAATTGATAAGAAGTTGGCTGATAAAATAAAGAAAATAATTAATTTTTTTAAAAAAGGAGAGAATGTGATCAGGTGGGAGACTAGAACAAAGCCATACACAAGAATTAGGGTATATTTTGGTCTATTAGAAGAAACTGTATCCCAAAATTTTAAAGAAAGAAAAACTTATGTATATACAAAAAATAACATTAAATACAATGAATAGAATATGACTATAAAAACAAAAATTTAAAAAGATTTAAAAATGAATTGATAAGATGTTGGTTGCAAAAGGAAAGAAGAAAATTTTAAAAAATAGGAAAAGAAAAAAATAAAGAAAATTTTAAAAATTAACTTTGAAAGACTCAAGAATCATGGAGAAAAAGTCATGAATTCTATATGCTGTATTTCCCTAGCACTGGATTTTTACAGTTCTCACTGATCAGTAAACTTGGTCTTGGCTGGATGTTCTTGCTGATCTTCTGGGGGAGGGGCCTGCTGCAGTGATTCTCAAATGTCTTTGCCAGAGGCGGACTTGCACAGCCCTTGCCAGGGGCCAGGCTAAGTAATCTGCTTGGGTTTGTGCTTGGTAGCTTTTGTTCACTGAAAGCTTTCTGTACAGCTTTGGAGGATGGGAATGAAAATGGTGGCCTTCCAATCTCTGGGCCAGAGGAGCTGAAAGCTTGGGGCCCCACTCCTCACTGCACCCTGAGAGAAAAGCAGTCAATCACTCCTGTTCTCCCTGGTCTCCCTTACACTCTGTGCTCAACCAGCCTGTAACTGAATGTTTCTATCTCTGGCACATGACCCTATTTGAAGTTTCCAAACCCAGTAGGTTCCTTTGGTGCGCTGCCGTGCCACTCCTCCCAGGGGAAGAAGGGGCGTCTCCCTGGATCTGCCACTCACGGGGTCCCTACTCGAAGAGCAGTGGCCAGACTGTGCCTCAGATCACAGTTTATGGCAACCCTGAGATGAAAGCCCACTCCTTGGCTCCGCCTTTACAGCCAGCTTCCCTGCTCCAACCCTTGGGTGCTCTGCCACCCTCAGGCACCCCTGGTCTTTCCCGAGGGTCCTGAGACCACAGTGTTCCAGCAAGGGTTCCCACCCCCCCACTTAGCCACTGGAGCTACGTCCCCCCACAGAGCAAGTTCTAATTTTGGGCTCCGCTGCTCTATTACATGCTGGGAGCCAGCTGGTGGAGGCTCCCTCCTCCACCCCTGCAGTCTACCTTCCTGAATATCGCCTCGGAATCACTTCTTGGCATGTCCTACCTACCAGAAAGTGGTCGCTTTTTTGTTCAGAGAATTGCTGCTATTCTTTTCTTTGATCTCCTGTTGAGTTTGTAGGTTTTCAGAATGGTTTGATAATTATCTAGCTGAATTCTTGGGACCGGATGAAAGTTAGGTGTCCTGCTCTTCTGTGGTCTTGCTTCTCCTTCTCCGCCCTCCCCAAGAGTTGTCCTAAAGTCCTGTATAGTCAACCCTTTCCCCTCCAACTCCCAGTCTTTCGCAACCTCTGATTTTCGTGCCTCACAAGCATTCAGAAATGTGTTTTTAGCTTTATTGCTGTGTAGTGATGTCTCACTGTGGTTTTAATTTGCATTTCTCTGATAACTAAAGATGTTCACCATTTGCTATTGTGTTTATTTACCATCTGTAGTGTTTCTTCTTTGATGAAATGCCTATACAAATCTTTTGCTCATGTTTATTCATTTGTTTTATTACTAAGTTGTGAAAATTGTTTATAGATTCTGGATATAAGTCTTTTGTCAGACATGTGTTTTGAAATATTTTTCTCCCAGTCTGTGATTTGTCTTTTCATTTGCTTAACAGTATCTTTCAAGGAAGTGCTTTACTTTTATGAATTTTTACTTTCTTATGTTCACACTACATAAATATATTATCTCTTCAAGAATTATATTTTAAAACTATCTTTAAAGATAAAAAAGAAAAAAGTGAGAGTGGTTAACAGCCTAAGAGCACATTTTACTAAAATAAATACCTAAATATTTAAGTGAAAATGAAAAAGAAAAAATAAATTGGACCTTGAAAAACTGAAAGAGGAGTGCCTGGGTGGCTCAGTCGGTTGAACATCCAGCTCTTGATTTTGGCTCAGGTCGTGATCTCAGGGTTGTAAAATTAAGCCTCAAGTTGGGCTCCATGATCAGTGGGAGAGTCTCTCTCCCACTCCCTCTGCCCCACCCCACCCATGCTCGGTTTCTTTCTTGCTCGCTCAAATAAATAAATATTTAAAATGAAAACTGAAAGAATTACAACAGGAAGAAGAAAAAGCACTTTAAGTAAAAAGAACACTGTGTACAATGCAAAATGGTAGGAAAGTACTGTGTGTGTGCTAGGGAAAGTGATAAGGCTGGAGCAAATGGTGAGAGGAAATAATGGAAAAGGAGGTTGGAATCAGGTTAAGTAAGGATGGCCTTGAATGTCATATTAAGGTGTTTCATTTATAACATGCAGCGAAATGGAATTCATCAAAAAATTTTAAGTAGGGCCTTTCATTCCGCGAGGTTGTGGAGCTCTGTGGGCATTGTTCAGAGAAACTACATCACGTTTACTGAATTGTCAGAATTCTGAAGCAAATTACAAGTGGTGAATAAACAATTTGGAGAAGGACTTGGGAGAGTATGTAACAGGAATGAATTTTCTCAACTCTGTAATGGCATCTAATTCAGCTGTGGAAATTGACAGTGAGAGTGATAGCTCTTCTTCTGGTAGCAGCTTATTTAAAACTCAGTGTGTCCCTTACTCACCTAAAAGGGTGCAAAGAAACCATACTAGAAAGTTTGTTCATTCACCTAAAGTTGCTCAAGCAAGGGATTCATCTAGTGACTCATCTTTCGAACCAAGACCATTGACTTTAAAAGCTATTTTTGAGAGATTCAAAAAAAGAAAACGTAAAAAGAAGAAATACAAACCAACAGGAAGACCAAGAGGAAGACCAACAGGGAGAAAAAACAGTAGACGTTCCCAAATAAATAAGAAACAAGTTCAAGACAAAGGATCTGGGTTCCCATTTTTAGAATCTGAGAATGTAAGAAAACCATTACCTTGGAGAAAGATTTTAACCTTTGAGCAAGCAATGGCAAGAGGATTTTTCAACTACCTTGAAAAACTGAAGTATGAATACTACCTCAAGGAATCCTTGAAACAAATGAATGTTGGTGAAGATTTAGAAAAAGAAGATTTTGACAGTCGTAGATACAAATACTTGGATGATGATGGAGCTCTCTCGCCTATTGAAGAGTCCGAAACAGAGGATGGGTCTGCAACAAATCTCGAACAAAATGACGAATGTGATATCAAATTGGTGGACCATAATGATTTCATTATAAGTTCTCAAGTACCAAAGATGAAGAATGTGTATTTAGAACAGGAGGGATGTACTGAAGAAGCTGCTTTGTCTAAAAAGAGAGCATCAAAGTCTAAAAACATTGGACAGAGGATAGAATTGTCTGAAAAGAGCTAGGAATATGAATGTTAAAGTAAATAGAAGAGAGAAAACAGCTTTTCATAGAAAGTAAAGATGATAAATACAAATACATATGTTGGTGTAGTGATAAAAGAGAACCTGCTTAAGGAGAGAAGAAAATCTGAACAAGTTAGTGAAACTCCTAAAGAATTACTAGAAAAAATATTTTAAAACACAGTGAAATTATCACAGAAAATTGAGGCTTGCATAGCAGAAATAATCACTTGAGAAATCATAAACAGAAGATCCATTTTGCCTATACTTGTTCATTTCAGGGTAAGCACTTCCAGGTGTTCGTTGTGCATTCAAATCAAGGAAGTACAGAGATTGTAATCCTGAAACAGTAATCACTAATGATGGACAACCAACCATCCATTCCTCAAGAGTACCCGAAACCATTTTGATGGCTATTTCATTCAAAAAAGTGACCTTTAGCTTCAAATGTGTAGTACTGTAATAACTTACTAGTTATCTAGACTCTTTCAACTACCAATTTTCATCACTACTGTATATTGCTGATTGTGCCACTAAATGTCTACTATATTTTATGATCTCACTTTTGCTGTTTTTGTTTAGTTTGTGAACAAAGACTTAGACAAAGTGCAAAAAATAAATCCTCTTTTGCAACCCAGGGGAAAAAAAATTTTTTTAAGTAGGAAAGGGACATGAGTGAGAAAGTGCTTGAGATGCTTACTCTTCTGGAGGTAAAAAGAAGAGACTGGAAGGAGGACTTAGGGAAACCAAGGAGGAAACTCTTAATAATCCCAATGAGAAGCCTCAAGACTACTACAAAGACAGAGCTGTGTGAATATGAAGGAGAAGATGAATGTCAGAGATAAAATGAGCTCCGAGGAGACTAAATCTACCAGGAGCAGGGAGAGACTGTAAGCATGAACCCAGGCCTATTGCTAACCAAAGGTAGGGATTCTGGAAAGGGACAGGAAGCATAGAGAACTATGTAATATAGCCCCCAGTAGAAGTAAGAAAATAGTTGAAGTTGTGGAATGGTAATAGAGAAAAATACTCTTTTTAAATTAACATAAAATGTATTATTTGTTTTAGGGGTACAGGTCTGTGAATCATCAGTCTTACACAATTCACAGCTCTCACCATAGCACATACCCTCCCCAATTTCTATCACCCAGCTACCCCATCCCTCCCACGTCCCTCCACTCCAGCAACCCTCAGTTTGTTTTCTGAGATTAAGAGTCTCTTATGGTTTTTCTCCCTCTATGGTTTCTTCTTATTTCATTTTTCCCTCCCTTCCCTTATGATCCTCTCTTGTTTCTCAAATTACACATATCAGTAAGATCATATAATTGTCTTTTTCTGATTGACTTATTTCACTTAGCATAATACCCTCTAGTATATCCACATCCTTGCAAATGGCAAGATTTTTTGATGGCTGCATAATATTCCAGTGTTTGTGCACACACGTGCATGCACACATACACATGTATATGTGTATGTATGTATGTATGTACACACCATATAACCACATGGATAAAGAAGATGTGATATACACATATATATTTATATATATATAAATTTACATCTTTAATTTTTTAATTTTTTATTTTTTTAAGATTTTATTTATTTATTTGACAGAGATCACAAGTAGGCAGAAAGGCAGGCAGAGAGAGAGGAGGAAGCAGGCTCCCTGCTGAGCAGAGAGCCCAACGTGGGGCTCGATCCCAGGACCCTGGGATCATGACCTGAACTAAAGGCAGAGGCTTTAACCCACTGAGCCACCCAGGCCCCCCCCCAAAATTTACATCTTTAAAATCAATTTTTAAAATTATGTTATGTTTTGAGAGAGTTTCTTTGTGGTGATGAAATAGTTTGGTAGCTTGATTGTGGTGTAGGGTGTACGAATCTACACATGGGAAAAAGTTTCATATACTCCCCTCCCTCAGGAGAAATTACATATAAAAATATAGTAAAAGCTGACTCGGGCCTGCACTTGAGTTAGTAATAGTAAACCAGTATCTATCTCCTAGCTTTAACAATATACTATGGTTATGTAAGATACTATCACTGGAGGAAACTAGATGGAAGCCACATGATAACTGTACTATTTTCCAAGAGCTCCCTGAATCTGCTTTATGCTCCAAAACAAGTACTGTCAGGTTGACAGAAGACAGACTGATTCGTGCAAAATTCAGAATGGAGGTTACATCTAGAGCTGCAGTGACCAATATAATAGCAACCTAAATCTAAATGAAATTTAAAACAGTCCCTCATTTGCTCTGGTCGCATTTCAAGTGCTCAATAGCCCATGTAGCTAGTGGCTACCATATGAGTAGGGGTACAGAACATTTCTTTCTTTTTTTTTAGATTTTATTTATTTATTTAACACAGAGAGAGGGATCACAAGTAGGCAGAGAGGCAGGCAGAGAGAGAGGGGAAAGCAGGCTCCCTGCTGAGCAGAGAGCCCGATGCAGGGCTTGATCCCAGGATCCTGAGATCATGACCTGAGCCGAAGGCAGAGGCTTAACCCACTGAGCCTCCCAGGTGCCCAGACATTTCTATCCTTACAGTAACTTCAATTAGACAGTGCTGCTTGAGGAAGAAGAGGGAATGAAATAATAGTGGTAATGAGCTATTTCTTAACCTAGATAGAGGCCACAGATGTTTTACAGTCTTCCTTAAAATTTTTATATGTGTTTTTTACACTCTTCTGGAATACATAATACAGCAATACAAAATAAAAATATTGATTTTTGCAGATAACATGATGGCACACCTAGACAATTCAAGTGACTCAATTAAGTTTCTTACAAGGAATAAATAAACAAAATTGTACAATATGAAACAAATCTACAAAGGCAACTTTGATTTTATATTAATGGAGCAATATGAAAAAAGGATTTCAATCATAATCATGATCTGAAAAAATTTAAAATTAATTTTACCTGAGATTTAAGAGATTTAAAGAAAATTATGAAAATCCTACTGAAATTCTAGAAGGTGATATATAAAAAAAGGGAAAGATCATTCCTTACACAGTCTGAACTATGTTCAACCACAATAACATTCTCTCAACTCTCTTCTATCACTCTTCCATAGTGCTAACCTGATCCTTACCCAGGTTAAACCCAACTCTCACACTAATGTGCACTTCTAAATAAACAGTTTAAGGTGTTTAGAGAAAAACAAACTGTACTGACAATCTCACCTTATATTACCATAATACTCAAATGAGTTTTCAGCCCAGGTCAGCAATTTATTTTCTGAATCTAGTTCACCTCTCCCTCTCCATGGTAACTATTTCGCTTGTCCTCTTCCATCTTCAACCTCCAGCACCATTCTGCACTCTCAGCAAAAGGCCTTACCTTCTCTAAGAGAATAAAAGCCATGAGAGAACTTCAACTTTCCACTACCAAATCTAAATGCTTACCTATATCTTTGTCCATTTACTCGGCCTTTTCTCAGTTACAATGGAAGGAGTGTTCTTGCTCTTAGAGAACAAGCTAACCTCATCATTTGTGCTCAGGTTCCTTTCCTTGGCTATGCAAGAATGTGGCTCCTAGAATTTTTCCTTCTCTGTCTACATTATCACTTTTTTCACATCTCCTGGAGTATTACCATCAGTACACAAGCATGCTGCAATAACTGCCATTAAAAAAAAAAATGAGGGCACCTGGGTAGCTCAGTGGGTTAAGCCTCTGCATTTGGCTCAGATCATCTCAGGGTCCTGGGATCAAGGCCCACATTGGGCTCTCTGCTCAGCAGAGAGCCTGCTTTACCCTTTCTCTCTGCCTGATTCTCTGCCTACTTGTGATCTCTCTCTCTCTCTGTCAAATAAATAAATAAATAATCTTTTAAAAAATAAATAAATAAATGAGAAGGAAGGAATAAATTAAGGAAGGATTTTATTACTTCCCTTTCAACTACATCCCTGTTTTACCAGTCTTCTTCTTCTTTTTTTTTTTTTTTAAGATTTTATTCACTTATTTGACAAAGAGAGATCACAAGTAGGCAGAGAGGCAGACAGAGGGGATGGGGGAGTCAGGCCCCCCACTGAGCAGAGAGCCCAATGTGGGGCCCAATCCCGGGACCCCGGGACCATGACCTGAGCCAAAGGCAGGCCGAACCCACTGAGCCACCCAGGCGCCCCTACCAGTCTTTAAAATAAAACATCTCTCAGTTGGTTAATCATCCAACTGTTAATTTCGGCTCAGGTCATGATCTCAAGGTCATAGGACTATGCCTTTTGTTGGGCTCTGTGCTCAGCATGGAGTCTGCTTGTCCTTCTTCCCTCTGTTCCTTCCCCCTCAGACACTCTTTCTCTAAAATAAATAAATAAAATCTAAAATAAAATAAAAACAGCTTTCAGGGCACGCTGGGTGGCGCAGTCCATTCAGCATCTGTTCAAATACTTTTCTTTCTTGTTTCACCAGTACTTGTCTCTCTGCCTTCAGATTTTCTCAGTGTCAAGTAGTCAAAGCTCATCTACTTGGGACCCCCAAAACCAGGTACTCTTGCACCCCTGTGCCCTGGCTACCCCCCACCCCCAATCAAATTATTCTTAAATTTCTATTATTTCCAGTCCTGATTTCTCTTTTGAGCTACATATTACTGTATCAAATCACCTTCTTGTTGTATTTCCATCTGGAATCTAAGAAGCATCTCAAACTTAACTTCTAGAAAATAGAACCTCATTTTTCCCTTATCAAATCCACTGTTCATCCTTCTTCCCCATCATGGTTAGAGGCATGACCATTAGTTCAGAACAAAAATTTAAAAGTCAATCCTGACTCTTCTTTTTTCTTGACATCTGATATTAACAAATCCAAAAGGAAGCATCATTAAGTCTATCTTTAAAATATATCCTAAATTTGACCATTTCTCACCACCTTCATTAGAGCTCCCTAATGCCCTAGATCTCAGTCACTATCAATGACCATTGGACTAACAAATTTAGCCTTCTCACTTGTAACTTTCTGATTCCACTCTTGCTCTTGCTCTCAATAGTCTCTTCTTCACAGCCAGAGTGACTTTAAAAAAACAACACATGTTCTAAAACTTGAAAAACTGTTACTTAGAACAGAAACGGGATTCCAGAAATATATTCAAATATAACAAACTACAAAGAACCTAAGTTCTTTTCTGCAAGACTACTAATTTACAGAAGAATACTGATAAAACTGAAGATAGGCTCCTTACAATTTCTAGGCACTGAAATTCTCCTAAGGCTATGGTCTTAAATATAATCTACTTCTGTATATAATCCCATTATATAATTAGCTTATTGACAGATCATGTACCAGATTATACAACAACCCCGCTCAAAATTTTCCAAAGGCTTCCTATCATATTTAGAATAAATCTCTTTGCAAAATTGTATACAACCTAGGCCCAACCAACCTCTTACACCTTATCTCTTGCCACTGAACTCCTCATCATGTTATGCTGTGTTGTGCTATACCCACGGTGGCCTCCCTGCTTTTTCTCAAACACACCAAACTTACTATACCTTTAGGGCCTTTGAATTTGCTATTCCCTTTGCCTGGAACACTCTCTTTCAAGATATTCACATGGCCCACTCTCACACTTAATTCAACTCTCAACTCAATACCTCCTCAGAGAAGTCTTTTTTAACTATTACTTCTAAAACAGTCTCCTTTTTTTCTTCCTTGGTACTAACATAGTCTCTTATTCTCAGTGCCCATCACTCTCTCTGTCAATACACTGTTTTGCGTTTATTCATAGCATATACCACTACCTAAAATTATGTGTTTATTTGTTTTTTAATCTGTCTTTTCCAAAAAAATATAACTTCCATAAGAGCCTCATTTTGGTCTGCTTGTTCACCACTATAGTCCTAGCACCTAGATCCATGCCTCACACAGATTATGTGCTCATCAAATATATGTTATGTGTGAGAATAAACAATAACCCGTAACAGTCTAAAAATTCAAAAAGAATGGTATCTGGAAAAGAAATGGGATTCCGGAAATATATTCAAATCTAGCAAGCTATATAGAACCTAAATTCTTTACCTGCTTTGCTATGTATTAGTACAAGATTTTCACTAGAATCAAAAAGATTATCTTGCAATTTTTAAGGCACCTAAATTCTCATGTGCCTATATTCTAAATACAATTTACATTTACATATATAACTCCATTATTATATATTTAGCTCATTCAAAATCAGTATTTTAGCTTTTGTGCAACTTAATTTGCTAGGAAATGAAAATCACAATCAGTACCAAGTTAAAACAAAACTAAAGGTAAAAAGGAGACAGACGAACTGAACTGTAGGCTATGACAATATAAGGAGTTCTACTGACCTGATCCTCAGTAAAATTGGTGAAAATTATCTTAAAAAACTAAAGCTCCTGGAAATGGTCCTTAGGGTAAATAACAAATAAAGAAACACCTATTCAAGAAAAGTGAAAATTCTATGATACTTGAACCAAAACCATTCCCTCCCTCCTCTCTTCCAGAGCAGAGAACGTGGCTCTACTCCAGACTTTCACCACCATGGACACAGGACTCCCTTATTTCGCAGTTCTGAGCTGGAGGGCTTTCTTCCCATAGAAGCAGGACTTCAGCATTTCTTAGGTTCTTCCAGATCTCTACCTTGGGTGTATGTTGACAATCCTGGGAGCCCAAGAGCCCTTCCCGTGGCTCAGGAGACAGTGCTTCCCTGACAGGACAGACAAACTGAGAGATCTCCACTTACTGCCCTGTCTCAGCTCCTAAAGAGTAAAGATGTCATTCAGAAGCTACCGCAGTTCTCCGCCCAACTTTAGAGCCTTGGCTCAGAGATTTCGCCTGGGTGCAAGAGAAAGGCCATTAAAAAAGACCACCTGTTAATCTCTTCCCACAGGAGTTTATCTTGTTTGCAACAGTGACATTTAAACTTAAAACATTTCTCAAAAATAGGGAAGGTTATGGTATAGGGAGTTGGGAGGAGATTTGCTTACAGATCTAATGAAGATAAAGCCTGGACTACAGGCTGGCCAGGTAAGAGAGAACCAGGGGAATAAGACTTCTAGAAGGCCTCTTGAGGTCAGAAATATCCAAACTCTAACCTTAGAAATTAGATTAGATTAGTTTGTCATGCCCCTGCCCGGAATTTATACCCCAGGGCACTATTGTAAACAACAAAGCAATCAGCCAGCAATTAGTGGAGCTGAAAACCTGGGTGTAGTCAGGGAAGAGTGTAGAAGAGAGCTCCACCAGTACAGGAGTCATTCCAGGGTGACTACAGGCAGACTGCCCCAGGAGCAACAATAGAGACTTAATATTCTGTGTTGGGGTAAGGGAGGGAAGGGTCACAGGGGGAACAGCCTTCACAGAAACAAATCCAGTTCAGCCTCTAAACAAATAAACAAGCAAATAACAGTAACAAAGCACTGGAAAGGAGAACCGGTATCTAAAACAGCTATATTATCTAAAATGTCCAGTCTCCAACAAAAAAATTATAAGGAATCAAAGAAACAGGAAAGTATGACCCATACATTTGGGGGTGGGAGAAGCAACAGAAACCGCCTGTGACAGTGACTAGATGTCAGATTTAAGAGGAAAGATTTCAAACTAGCCATTATAAGTATGTTTACAGAACAAAAGGAGAGCTTGATTAAAGACATAAGGAAAGCATGACGACAACATCATGTCAAATAGAGAGTATCAATAAAGAAAAAAAATGTTCATTCTCAAATAGAGAATATCAACAATGAGAAAAAATATTTCCAAATGGAAATTCTGGATATGAAATGTACAAAACGGAAATAGAATTGTAGGATATAGAAAGAACCTCAGACTGCAAAAAAGATCCTTGAGCCTAAAGGGCCAATGTGTGTTCTTCTCCAAATCCATTCTTCCAACTCTGTGTCTGATGTCCTTTTTTTTTTTTTCCTTTTTAAAGATTGTATTTATTTATTCGACTGAGAGAAAGTGAGAAAGCACAAGTAGGGGGAGTAGCAGACAGAAAGGGAGAAGCAGGCTCCCCGTTGAGCAGGTAAGCCTGATGCAGGGCTGGATCTCAAGATCCTGGGATCATGACCTGAAACAAAGTCGGATGCTTAACCAAGCCACCCAGCTGCCCCTAACGTACTTTTTTTTTTAAAGCCACAACTTTCAATAATAAAATTAACTCTATCCACTAATTTAATCATAAAATCTATATGCTACTTCTTGGATGACATCCATTCTATACATAATTCATATTTCTTTTTTAACAAAGTGATATTATAAATAACAGGTTAATTCTCAAATTTAATAATAATATGAAAAATCTTACTGGTCTGACGTCACCACAGGAATTGGTAAATTGTCGAGCCAAGCCAAAATCAAGCATGTAACATTTCCTACATGTACTAGGAAAGCGACCCATGGCGAAGTTCGACTAGAAAAGCAAAGAAGGAAAATATACATATTCTTATAATACTAAATCCTTACATATATCCTTCCTATATTTTAATTCTTCTATTTAAACTCTATATAATACATATGTCTCAAACACACTATTCTAATCCATGATATTTACTGGATATTAATACATAATCTTGTTGTGTATTCTATTAATGCCTAGGAGCAGGTAACTTTGAGGAACAAAGAATTAAGTGATGGTACAAAGTTACCTACAACAACACTGACTTAAGTGGAACTCTATGTTCCTTGAAATTCTGGTCTAAGTCAACACTTTAAAGACAGCCCAATTCTTCCTTTTTAAAATGGGAGGAACTAGGAGTGAGCAAAATTGAATACACAGCTAAAAATTTAAATGAATTTCTTATAAGCATCATAAAGCTGAATTTCACTAAGCATAAAAATTAAAATTCAATTTAAGGAAGCATTTCAAAACAGACTTCATGAAATATACTTTGCATTCTTCCCTTAAAAAATAAATGTAATGTTAAATGAGCACAAATTTGCAAAGATGGTATGTAAAAAGAGAATTTATAAAGGAAAAAGCAAAACTGCTACAAAATTTTTAGCTTTTATTTTAAAATAATGTTCTACTTAGGGAGTTTTCAGATGAAAATGGAAAGTCTTCAGTCACCATGCTTCTAAAGTAGTGACATTTAGTTTGGCATAGAATTGAGAGCAAGAGAAATCTATATTACATTAAGCCTGACTCTACTAATGTTAATTTTAGTTGGCATTTTCATGTAAACTATTTAATTTTAGAAATCATGTAGCAGCAGATGGATGTAATTTTCAACTGCACTAACCAACACATGATATATTTATAGTAAATATAGTATATCAGAAATGGATCATTTCCCCTTGTGAGCAATTAAAAAACAAAGAAGGAAAAATAAATGCATATTTCAGTTATGGAAATGACAATTTCTAAGAAAAAACAGAATAGAAAAAATACTATATATTGCCACTGTAGCACTCAGAAGAAAAAATAAGGTCTTTCATAATTGATGGTTCTTTATAAGTACAATTTGTCACTTGAGAAATAGTTCAGAGAACCCAATGAATATAAAAGCCACATATGTATATATTTTTACACAGTATCAGGAAAAAGAAATCTAAAGAATGACTTCCAATTTAGGTGTAAGGCTAAGTAACTAGGAATGTTAACACACATAATAATAATAGTCAAGCATTATTAATTTTTACTTTGGCTGCGAGCAACATTTTCATTGTATGAAAAAAGCTCCTGAATGTTAAATTGTAGTTTGTAATTAGAATTTTTTTTAAAAATTAAGAGGCAAGTTACATTTTGCTTCTAATTACAGAATTAAAATATTACCTTGTATTTAATAATAGAAATAAAATACAGAAAGCTGCATTCATAATTTATTGTGTCCCTTCATTAGATTAAGAGTACAAAGCAAACTCATTCTGTGCTCTGACTTGAAAAGGCCTCTTACCGGTTTGATGTCTCGGTGCAAGAATCCCACAGAATGGATGCTCTCAATAGACTCGAGAATCTGTCTACCCAACCGAAGAGTAGTGCTAATGGTGAATGTGCCCCGGGACTGGCTACGGCGTAGATCTGCCAGATTCCGACCCTGTGTAAACCAAATAAACACTTTCACATATGGTACTATGTTATAAAAGAAGAGCGGGAAGTTATTCATTTACCATTAAAAATGTTTTGACAGGGGAACCTGGGTAACTCAGTTGGTTGAACATCCAAGTCTTGGTTTCCGCTCAGGTCATGGTCTTGGGGTTGTGGGATGGAGCCCTGAGCAGCGTGGGACCCACACTCAGCGGAGCCTCTGCTTGGGATTCTTTCTCTCCCTCTACCCCTCCCTCCTGACTCATCCTCTCTCAAATATATAAATCTTTAAAAAAAAGTTTTGACAGAAAATACAAGGATTTTACCCAAATTGTGACCCTCTCATTCAAGAGAAGAGATTCCACTAAGGTAATACATGAATGTTTCAAAGAAATTTAAGAATAACCAGAAGTTTTTGAACTTATTATGTTTTTGAGTCATCATGTTTCCGTCTTTCATGCCATAACAAAATACAGTCTTGATTATTTGAAAATATAGAAAACATATGTACCCAGAGCAATAATTCCAAATATAAAATAAGTGATAATCTACAATAATGAGTTTTACAAGCCCACGAGTAGCTAATAACTTACGAGCATTCCAACCATTTTTTTCTCAAAAATCAGTATTTTGATTTCCAAAAATATACCTAAGAAATACTGGAACTTCATTTGTAAACAACTTCCACCATTATAAAAGCTTCTGAAGGAAAATCAATTAATTTGATTTATGATAGTAGTAATGATTCTAAAATTTCAAATCAGTTATTTTTTAATTTCTTTAAAAATTTAATTAATTAATTTATTTATTTGTCAGCGAGAAAGAAAGAGCACACAAGCAAGGGGAGCAGGCAGAGGGAGAAGCAGGCTCCCCCATGAGCAAGGAACCCGATCTAGGACTTGATTCCAGGACCCCAGGATCATGACCTGAGCCGAAGGTAGATGCTTATTCAACGAGCTACCCAGGCGTCCCTAAAATTTCACATCTTTTAAAATGTAAACTAAGGTATCAATTAACAAAATCCAAAAAGATAAAATATAAGGCTAGAAGGAGTATGGGGAAAAGTTATTAACATGGTAATTAAAATTAAAAACTTCACAGTATAAATTAAAGTAATTATTATTTGTTACAAAGAAAAACTGAAAACAATCTACATATCTATCAATAAATGAAAGGTTAAATAAATTATGGTACACTCATCTTACTGACTGGTACACAGCCACCGGGAAGGGGGGGGGATTCTTATTCATAACATAGAATGAATATTATTGAATGAAAAAAAAATGGATTTTTCCCTAAGTAATTCTATAAATTTAACATGATCCCAATAAAAATACAAGTGGATTTTACTACTAAAAATGTGAAGTGAACCTAAAAGAAAATAATATAATGAACCCTCATATAACTACTCATCACCAAGAATTAACAATTATCAATTCATAGCCAATCTTGTTTCACCTGTTTGTTACCTACTCCCCCACACCCTTGCCATGCACACCCTTTTCCTTCCCACACATATATACGCTGGATTATTTTCATGTAAATCCCAGTATCATTTCATCTACATATATTTAAAAGTGTGTAATAGCAAAGAGATAAAAATAAATTGTCAGCAACCCTACTGTCACAAATTTGAACTAGAAATATCTACTTTCTCTTTTAAAAAATGTGTATCCTGAACCCATCCACTTGAAATGAATTTAAAACAATGTTCAACCCAATTACGAGAGATACCCATAGCCTCTAGAGTTTGTGGTCTCTAAATACCATTTCCCACGAAGAGGAATCAGAGCTTACTGGAGAAATGGCTGATTCTAGCTCTGAAGCATGAAACAGACAGAATGAGCTTGGAACATGATATTGGACGAGAAAGTAAGGATGCTATCAAAACTGCTACAGTCTGGTCTTACCAAAATGAATCAGAATCCAACTTGAAAGAAGCCCTATTGGTCAAAGATAGAGCAATTTGAACATTAAAAACAACTGCAATAATTGAGAAATATAAAAGATGTGAAATCCATGAACTCATATTTTTTTAAAAAGAGCTCATCAGTCCTCTTTGGAAAATATTAGGGAACCAACTTGTTATTTTGAGAACTAGTAAATGGAAGAAAAGAAATACAAATCCTGCCCTTCCTATATAAAAATTTATCTCAGGTAACCTAATAGTTGAAGGAGTGCTTTTTTGAAGAAGAATTCCAGCTATTAATTAAGGAAAACTGATAGAATTAGAATCATACACCTGCAACCCCACTGAAGTAATGGATCTAGGCAATGATTACTAATCGGTTGATAAAACCTAGAAGAAAAACTACTGGGAGCTTTAAAAAGGATGCATCAGGCTGACTGTCCCTGAATCTCAAGGATCAATCCTAAGAATATTAAAAAGAGACAACCCAGGGGCGCCTGGGTGGCTCAGTTGGTTAAGCCGCTGCCTTCAGCTCAGGTCATGATCCCAGGGTCCTGGGATCAAGTCCTGCATTGGGCTCCTTGCTCAGTGGGGAGCCTGCTTCTCTCTCTGCCTCTGCCTGCCGTTCTGCCTACTTGTGCTCTCCCTCTCTCTCTCTCTGACAAATAAATAAATAAAATATTAAAAAAAAAAAGAGAGAGAGAGACAACCCAGACATTGCCTAGGGATGGCATGCAAGAGGAAGCATACCACTCACCTCTGAAGTACTCTGGCTAATTAAACAAAGATCTAATCACTAGTTTACAGAAAATACAGGGGATAGAACAACATGTTAAATAAGGAGGGAGATAATCAGCAAACTCCAGAATATGTGAACTTCATGACAAGCGACATCATTTTTGTCGATGACAATATCAACAACAACAAAAAAACTGTAAAAAAAAGAAATAGAGGGAACCTATAAAGAAGGTTTAAGAATTATATCCACCAAATGCAATATGTGGAACCCTCTGTGAAACCAGATTTAAGTAATCCAAATATAAAAAAAAATAAAATAAAAGATATACAATAAGGAAATCTGAAAATTATCTTGATATTTAATGCTATTATTAAGGAATTACTGTGTACTGTGATTAAGAGGAGAAAAAGAGTCTCTGACTCCTAGGAATACATATTCATGTATTTCCAGATAAAATATGCTTCCATTTTGCTTTGAAATAATTTGGGGAGGGAGAGGAGAGGAAGAATAAAGCAAGAACAAGATGGACCATGTACTGATAACTACTGAAGCCGGGTGATGAGTACAAGGGTGTTCATTATACTATTTTATTTTTGTGTATGTTTAATTTTTTTCACAATAAGAAAAAGTTTTAAATATAAGGCAGTTCTGATATTAGGAAATCCAGATCTACATCTGTATGATTATAAGATTCAAAAATTTTTTTGCCCCCCTCAGGTGATAACGCTTTTTCACAAAATATCACCCTTTGGCTATATGAAAGCTGCTCATGTAAAGCCTCAATGATGAAAGGAAATTTCACGAGACTCTTCCCAGATGTTGCAGGTAGAAATGAGAAAAGAAGCATAAATTCTCAAACACATAAGATTTCAAGACCCAGATTTTAAGAGCCTCCCAGTTGCCCCAGTCCTTAAAATTTTTAAGGCAGATATTCTACAACTGAATCACCAAGAGGAAAAGAGTATTAAAGAATAATAAATTTAGGGGGCACCTGGGTGGCTCACTCAGTGGAGCATACAACTCTTGATTCTGGCTCAGGTCATGATCTCAGGATCATGAGATCGAGCCTGCATCAAGCTCTGTCCTGAGCATGGACCTACTTAAGATTCTCTTTCAACCTCTCCTTCTGCCCCTCCTGCCCTCCATACCCAAAAGAATTTAGGATTTTTAGAAGAAATTAAAAGTGGCAGTGAGAAGCTGACTACATAAATTTTATCACAATATACAAGGGGAAACATAGTAGTTATCTTCAATATGTCATGTAAGACAGAATACCCTCTAACAATTATATTAGCTTTACTCTAAATCAAGTCAATCATAACTGTACAGATGCATGGCTAATGGTGGATAATTTTCTTATGAACAGGAAAAAATACAGCATGAAAGTCAATTGGAAAGGTTCTTGGATAAATCCAGAGGAGCCTGCCAAAGGCCACAAAGGCCATCGTTATCTGATCTACACTGGTCTCCTTAGTTTTCCGAAACTTTTTCTGAATTTCTTTCCTCTGCTGCCCCAACCCAACTCCACTCTCCATCTAGGAAACAGAACTATGTTAATGAATGAAAAAAGAAAAAGGAATGCATTTCTCCTATGTATCAAGTAATGCTTAAATTTTCAAGCAGTCAAAGTTGGTTCTTGAGCACATAAATTAAAAACTAGAGGTAACAAGAGGTAACAAAGAGAGGAAGGGAGAGGGACCGGGTAAGATTCCTGTCCAACAATCCATGTTGGGATTGAAAAACTGCAATGATGATAATCAATGGATAGTTGACAAGAACAACCCTTCCAGAGGGAAAAATGAAACAAGACGAAACCAGAGAGGGAGACAAAGAATAAGAGACTCTTAACCTGAGAGGAAACAAACTGAGGGTTGCTGGAGGGGAGGGGGTTGGAAGGGATGGGGTGGCTGGGTGATGGACATTGCAGAGGGCTATGTGCTATGGTGAGTGTGGTGAATTGTGTAAGACTGAGGATTCATAGACCTGTACCCTTGAAACAAATAATATATGTTAATTTAAAAAATAGCAAAAAAAAAAAAAAAAAAAAAGAACAACCCTTCCATCTTTGGGAAAATCTATGTCAAATCTGTTTAAATGAAATTCCATCTGCATAATAAAAAACATTCTGAGATGATACCAAGAATTCTATTTTATTCATACCTACTGAAATTAGGTACTTTGATCAAAACTGAAATATTTTAAGATACATTTCCAAGTAACCTACCTGCAACTGCATGACCACATAGTTGAATCGATCATTCCTCCCACAGCCAATAAATCTACAAACGTGGTCTTTCCCTGGATAAAAGAAAGAAAGAAAGACAGAAAACAGTGGAAAAGGTTATGCTATGGTTTCTCTTCTAAATAATTAATAATTTGCTATTCTGTATAGTATTTTATAATTGAATATAAAGGACCTGTCTTATGAACCTTAAAAATAGGAAATCTGGGGGCGCCTGGGTGGCTCAGTGGATTAAGCCGCTGCCTTTGGTTCAGGTCATGATCTCAGAGTCCTGGGATCGAGCCCCACATCGGGCTCTCTGCCCAGCAGGGAGTCTGCTTCCTCCTCTCTCTCTCTGCCTGCCTCTCTGCCTACTTGTGATCTCTCTCTCTGTCAAATAAATAAATAAAATCTTTAAAAAAAAAAAAATAGGAAATCTGTATTATTCAAATTTTCTATCCACCTCCCCCTGGACCCTACATTGCTCTGTGTGTAGTCAAACACATGTTTATTGAATGAATAAATAAATGAATGAGGAAATAAATGAATGATTAATTTATTTATGAAGTAAAGAATTAAAAGGTCATTTCAGGTCAACTTGCCCGGATATTATACGTATGAAAACAGAGAAGAGCAATAAATAAGAACTCTGTTAGGAATATAAATCCTGGAGGATACAAATATTATATTTATGATATAAACTTATTGTATAAATATAAATCCTGAAATATATATATAAACATAATATAAATTTATAAGTATAAATCCTGAATTTCAGATATGGTCTGCCATTCACCAATATATGACTTCAGTCCCTTAATCACTTAATCTTTCTGGGCCTCAATGATTTGGATTAGTTCAGTGGTTTTCAACCTGGGTTTTACCTATGAAATCCCAGGAGGTGCTGACTAGGGTGCAGAGGAAAGCAGAGGTGGAACAGGTAGAAATCCAGAGTCTGCCTTGATTCAACAAAAGCAAACAAAGATCCTAGAAAAGGATTAAGACTGGTGGGCTCCAGGGCAAGAAGAGGGCATTTTGTCTGGAGCATAGTGAATGAAGAGAGAACAGCATGAGGAGATGCTGGAGAAGCAAGAGACATAAGGCCCTGAAAGGTCTTAGACTCTATAACAAGGAAAGTGAGCCACATGGAGAAGTCAGTTTTTCTCAGCCCCAGCTACGTATCGAAATCATCTTGGAAAACTCTGTAAATTCCTGCACTCTTTAGTGATTCAGAATTGGTGGGGAAAAATACAGGTTGGAGCCTTTCAAAAGTTCTCTAAGTGATCCAAAAGCAGATGGGCCATGGATGGATATATGATCTATTGGATCTATTGCTGGGTAAAGAGAAGCATCTACAAGACTTTAAGATGAGGAAAAACACACTTAAAACATTGTACTTTAGAACACTGCTATGGTGGCAATGACAGACCACACAGAGGTCAACTCTAAAGGCAGAAAGGTCACTCTGGGAACACTTACAATATCCCAAGAGAGAATAGGGCTTAAATGATAAATAGTATAGGAGAGATGGAAAAAATAAGATAAATATGAAAGATACCAAAGACAGTTTCTGACTAGAAACTGGTACAATTAAATGGTAAGTTTTAGCAAAATAAGAGAATATATAGTAGGTGGTATAGGCTGTAAGGGATATTAGAATGTCGAGTTTAAGGACAACCTGGTGAATTTAGCAGACAATTGTAATTTTAAGCTTGCTGCTGAGCAAAAAGCTGAGCTGCAGAAATACACTGGGGAACCATAAGTTCATGGAAGATAGATAGAACTACACACACAGATGGAAAACTACCAAGTTGGAAGAATATAAAGAATGAGAAGAAAATTAACCTAAGAACTGAATTTTAGAAAATGAAACATTTAGAGCATGGGAAAAAATAAAAGAATGCATGAAGGGAACCAAGTAATAGCCAGAAAGGTATGAGGAAACTATGAGAAAGAGGTATTATAGACATACAATGAGAAGAAGCATTTTGGCTAATGGCAAATGCTATAGAAAGGCTGAGAAGTGCTGGTTAATATAAAAATTAGGAAGTCACTAGTGAGTAGAAAGGGCGACAGCCAGTCTTCAATGGAATAAAGTATGAATCAACCACGAGGCAGTGAGGGTAATCTTTGAAGAAGTTTGCCTGTAAAGTGATCAAGTCATATGCCAAGAGCTGGAAGGGCAAGATTTAGTGAATGAATGAGAAATACATCTCAAAATTAAAACAAAAACAAAAACAAAAACTTTCTACTGACGGACTTAAAATACAAATACAATCCAGACTTAGTTTAGTTAATAATTCAACTTCTTTTACACTATTCGCTCTTTCTCTGTGGTTTTGCTGGAAAGGGTTGGAACTCACAAAAAATATGTTCAATGGGAGCAATAATTCCCAATGTGTACAATGCATGTGCATCACTTTACATGTATTTTACAAATATTTGCAAAACTGTGCCTGTCATCTAGTAAACTGCAGTAAGAATGAAAGGATGAAATGACGGCCAATTAGCAACTTACTCTTTCCCTCAGCTTCAAAGGAACAATTTAAAAATCTTTTATGAAGTATTTTATTCTTATTATCCATTAAAAATTCCACCTTCCTAGGATATAACATTTAAATGATGGATGTCTATTACAAAGACATTTCAACCATCTAAAAACAAAAGGCCATACTGTATTTAATGTTTCTCAGAATGTTCTTTCAAAAATATCTTTATGGTACATAACACCAAAATACTATTTATCTCTTGATAGTGAAAACATCCTACTTATATATTAAAAAAAAATCAAATAAACTGTAGATCCTTGACTGATAAACAAAATACAAAGTCAGTAGCAAACTCTTTAAGATTCACCAACACATCTTCATTGATATAGGTTAGAGCTTAATGAGTTCTTAACTCATACTTTTTAGCATAGTGTACTACTGTTCTTATATTTTAGATACATGCAATTAGTGAAAATCCTTGGTTCAATAATATGTACAAATTTTTAGAAGCATGAAGAAACTACAATTTAACTGGAACAGTAATTCTTCACCACCACTTAGAGTTTTAAAAATAACTATTGTAATAACTAGTACAAACTGAGATATCACTCCATGAGTACAGGGACCATATCTATCTTGCTCTGGTGACTAGCACAGCATCTGTCAATTAGTGAAATGCCCAATTAGTATCTGTGAATAAACAAATTAATATAAATAATGATAGCTAGTAAAACATACATAATATGCAAGCATATTGTACCAGGCATTATATTAAGTGCTTTACATGCATTTAATCTTCACACCTTAAGTATTATTATTTTCCCCATTTTTCAGATGTGAAGAATTCAGCAAAATAATCTCTAAAAATGAAGGGAGCAGGGTAAGTTATACTTGAAGAGAGTGTTAATAATTCAAAATCATTGCTGTGGAGAAAGAGAAACACAAAGGGAAAGAGAATCAGCTTGCTAAACCCAGAATATATCAGGAAAGACCTAATAAACTGTCATTAGTTAAGAGTCCTGAGGATAATCCAGATACCAGAACTACAGCAATCTTTATGATAAGTCAGGCAGTCTCCTAGGTCAAATCTAGTTGGTAAGCAAACAAACAAAAAAAAAACAAGACAGTCCCACACTATGCACTGCTAGGCGTGATTATGATTCCACGTTCACAAAAATAGTTATTCAACTTCATGCACAATAAGATTAGAGGAGAGGTCCAGAAATATTACAGAAACCACTCAAAGTCCCTAGATAAACCATTTTATAAAGTTTTAAGAACTCCCAGTATAAAAGACATGTAAATAGTCTTTTTTTAGAAGATTTTATTTTAGGACACCTGGGTGGCTCAGTCCATTAAGTGCCTGCCTTCACCTCAGGTCATGATCCCAGGGTCCTGGGATGGAGTCCTGCAACAGGTTCCCTGCTCAGCCCGGGAGTCTGCTTCTCCCTCTCTGTCTGCCCCTCCCTCACATTCATGTACACGTGCTCTCTGTCTCTCTCACTCTCAAATAAATGAATAAAATCTTTAAAAATAAATAAATAAAAGATTTTATTTTTAAGTAATCTCTCCATCCAACTCTGAGATCAAGATTTGCACAATCTACCAACTGAGCTAACCAAGTGCCCCCATGACATCTAAATAATCTTAATGTCACTCTAGGACAGGAGTGATGTCAAACCCACACCAATCCTCATTTTATTCCTACTTAATAACCTCCCATACATTTTCATTAAAGGCACCAGAATATGATAGATATATAAATTTAATTTCAGCATCATTAGACTATACTGTCTTTGCTTGTCTGACCCCTAGACTGTAAGTACTCCTAGGGTAGGGGCTCTAGTACCCAGCTCTGCACAGGGTACACACTAACTAAACAATGAATAAGTTTTTTACAATACCTTTATTGGAACATTATTAATGTACCACTAAATTCACCCATTTAAAGTGTAATTCAATTGTTTTTAGTATATTCACAGTTGTACAACCACCACCATAATCAACATTAGAACATTTTCAACAGCCCTACCCCACCCCACCAAAAAACCCATACTTATTAGTTGTCACTTTCACTTCCCCCTGCAACTCCCCCAACCCCATGAGAGTCAGTCTCACTAACTTACTTTCTATCTCTACAGACCTGACTATTCTGGACATTTCACATAAATGGAATCATACAATAAGTAGTTTTTGTGACTGGTTTCTTGTACCTAGCATAATGTGTTCAAAACTCATCCGTGTCGTAGCACGTATCAATATTTCACTTCTTTTCATTGTCAATAATATCCATTATGTAGCTATGCTTAATCTTATATAGTTATTAATATGTTTAATCTTAAGCAGTCCATAGGAACTGCTGGACTGTTGTCCAAAAAAGCTGCACACTTTATATTCCTACCAGTAACATATGAGGCTTCTAACTTCTCCACATCCTCACCAACTCTTGTTATTATCTGTATTTCTTTTTACTGCAGTCATCCTAGTGAGAGTGAACTGACATCTCAGTATAGTTTTGATTTACATTTCCATAATCACTAATAATGTTGAGCATCTTTTCATGTGCTTACTGGCAATCTGTATATCTT